TCGAGACCTGCCTCGATAGAGGCCACGCCTGAATGCGTTCCTCCCCAGTCGGACATGACGTAGCCCTGGAATCCAAGCTCCTCTTTTAGCAGGCCGTTGAGAACCTTGGAGTTTTGACAGGCATAAGAACCATTGAGACGCTGGTAGGAGCACATAAAGGATGCTGCGTTGGCGTGGGCAGCATTGGCAAACGGCCAGAGGTATAGTTCATGCATGGTGCGATCATCGATATTGGAGGAAAGGGCTTCCTGTAAGACATCCGTGACGGTCCCATTGGGATCGAACCTTGGATTCCGCTGTGTCTCTTGTTCGTTGCCGATGAAATGTTTTGGGGTGGCCTGGACACCTGCATCGTGGTAGCCCTGAACAGACAGTTCCATGGCAATACCGGTCAGGTACGGATCGGCCGCAAAGCCTTCCCAGTTTCTTCCTCCGTATGCGGACCGTCCGAGAGGGCCGGCGACGGGCGATAGGGCGATATGCGCGCCTTTGGCCCGGAATTCCTGGCCCATAGCAAAGGCTCGTTCATACAGTATGTCTCTGTCCCATGTCGACGCCGCTGTCACACCCGCAGAGAATACACTGGCATAATCCGCGACACGAATTGCCATAGGACCGTCTTGCAAACAAAGGCCGTTGAACCCAAGGCGTGGAATTGCCACTATATTGCCCACACAGGGCCCAGGTTGTCCGGTCACCATGTCGGCCTTCTCTTCCAGCGTCAATAGAGAAACGAACTCCCGGGCCTTGGTGTGAGCTGCTTGCCATCCCCCTAGCCCGGTGGAATTGGCTGTTCTAGGGGTCAGTAACTCTCACACAATATTTCAGGCGGATCAGGAACGTACGTGAGGGAAGGACTGCGGGTGAATGCCCATACTGTCCGAGAATCGTTGTATTGCGAGGCTGAACATAATTGAAAGCATCTTCGTTTCTAGAAGATCCCTCGTACTGCTGGCTGTTGGCAACAGTAGCCGCCAGCAGGCCCGAGAAGATCAGATGGGCAACGCTTGCCATCTCTGCAGCTATATTTCGCTTGAGCCTGAAGAAGTGGTCTGCAGGAGTTGTGCCGAGAGTCGGAGTCCAGCCATCCTCTTTATAATCGAGCGAAAATACGGGTATTCTTACTATCGCGCTCGAGTGCTTTCCTTCTGATACTATAAAGTAGGCTTTTATGCACCCCACAGACCTTCTCCGCATCTCCAGTCCCCGCATTTTCTTGGCTGCCGGCTAAACTCCGGCATGATGGACGAACCTGGTAGGTAAAGCGCCAGCCGGCCGCCTTCGGCTTTGCCCGTGGGGGTCTTTCGGTAAAAATGACCCGAAGATACTCCGGAGAAGCAAGCTGCAAGGAAACGAGTCATGACGGACAGAAAGTCAACCAAATTCCCTCAAGAGACGGCCCGCGGCTTCAACTGCTTGAACTACAGAGAAGCAGAGCAGACTCGATTGGGGAATTAGGGTACCTTGGATCTGTCCTCTGTTCTTCCTTATCCTCACGAGACCTCTTCCACCCTTCCGGAGCTAAGCAACCGCAATAGTATCAAGTAAATTTCCCCATATCTGAACTCCCCTCGGAATATACCAAGCGGGATGGATCACGCTTGGCGTTTCCTCTACCGGGCTGGTGCAAGCCCTCCTCAACCTTAATAGTAGCCAGCCATATATACCTTCTCGTCTAAATATCCTCACCGGGAATACTTCGGGATACTCTGTCCAAAGGTGACAGCGATTTTGCAACCACGCTCACGGCAAACCCATCCCACGCAAGGGCCGGTGTAAAGTTTGCCGGCCCACAGTTCAAGGCCCGGCTGGATGGCTCGTCAACATGGGGCGACCGATTTCGGTGTGGATGACTCCTCGGTTACCTTCGGAGTCGATGACGCCAGTGTCACGAGTCATTTCGGAGAACGCAAACACCGATGGGCGGCAAAGGCTTCGGTAACATGAGTGTGAAGATGGGAGGAACGCTATGCTGCATGCTAGCGAGGTGGGTTAGCAGCACTCGCAAAGACCCCGCTGCCCCTAGTTATGAGACACATCACCCAGCTCGTCTACACTCACCCTGTAACTTAGTGGCCGTTGCACATAGAGCGTCAACCACTCAATGGCTTAGATATGGCTTCACCGTGTTTATAATGCCAGCTTAAGTACAGCCGAGCGGACGGTAAGCACTGTTTCCACGGCCTATGGTCGTATGTGCTAAGTATCCACTGCAAGAGAGCAAGAGTCTGATATGCAGTGAAAACAATGTTGAAATAGCAGCTTCTATAGAGTCAGGAATAGAAATAATATCTCCTTTGATTTATTATGCTTGACCTTCACCGGCTTCGAAATTACATTTTTCTTTTATGGTCCAGCTCCTCTGAAGTAGCCGAACTATAGTGATGGCTAGAGCCAGGCTTTACTGTCAAATACCTGCGATAAGGAGACATAGATCCATATTGTCCCGTCGTGACACTAGTATTCAATACTTTGGCTTTTCTGTATCTTGGGTTACGGGCTAGGCATTTGAATACTGAACTCCTGCTTCATTTGATGAAGCGCCTGCATAGCCAATCGCTTCAATAGATAGGCTACAACAGGACAACAGAATCTTGATTTATTGATTGATATTCCATACAAGCCAAACAAACGATTTACTCTTGTCTGGTGGAGGAAAAGCCAAGCGCAGTAGCCACGTGGACCAAACCAGAATTCGCTGTACTTTCTTGACCCTTATGTTGGCGCATTCCTTGTAGAATGCTGATTCTGCCGGATTCCTGGTCTGCCTATATTTGCCGCATCCCTTGTATTGACAAGAAAGCTACATGCCGCTTTATTAAGTTGGGAGTAACCCGTACATACTGAATATCCGGATGGTCAGCCACGGCTAGCTGTGTGTTTCTTCACGTACAGGCGAGAAGTAACCTGTCTGGAGACAGGTCGCACCACACAAGATAGGCTTCGTGATCACAGGTATCAACGATAGCAAGGGGCTCTGCCAAATTCCGAACTATTCTCGAAGCCGATCCACCTATTCTCCATATGGGATCTGATGGACAGCGGAGCCAGTTGTATGCTCTTCCGAGGTTGCTATTTTCTCTGCAATATGCAGGATACAATAGTAAACGTAATCGGCTGTGACGAATTCCATGTTCAGTTGCGGAAGATCGGGCCAATATCCCAGCTGGATACAGCCCATCACCATGCGGCCAATGGCCAATGAAGTCATCCGAGTTTCCGACGCCCGTCATGCTGTCTCCTAGAACGAAGCCTGGGCGATAGATGGCAACAGGTAAGCCTCGGTTACACACTCTCTGTACCATCTCATCTAACCCCTAACCGACTATCAGATCACTTACTGGCTGTTTCTTCATTCCAGACTGGTCCTCTCTTAGGGCCGGCCCTGCTCTTAAGCTTAGAACAGCAGATGGTCTCTTTAGCTGGGCGGCCTGGCTATGGGGGAATAGGAATATGAATATGGATACCTACATAGATGTATTATATAATAAGACTCTTAATGGGATGCCGTATATGATGCCGGTGTCCCTGTGGTAGAGTTGCATTTGGTCCAAGTCCAGGCGAGTCCAACCCCAGTTGGAACCAAACCTGATCCATTCTAGTTTGGTGTAAGTTTCACTGCAAAATCGGTCCCTAGTCCTAGATAGGCCTAGGTAGACCCCTACTAACTAATCATGGCTAGATTCTGGTTTGAGTCAGTTTTAATTTCTGTTGGTTTGTAGGTCTAAATTTTGATGGTACCCATTTAGAATTTAATTTCTCCTACCCTAGGGGCCTATCAAACATGCTTATATAAAATTATTATTTTTATATAAAATATATGGTAATCATAGTCATTTTAATCTATGTCTAAAATATTAATTCAATATCTATAGGGTTGAATGGGTGGTAGTTAAAAATTATTCTTTAACTATATGATTGTCAAAGGCTAATATATATATATATAAACCTCCACTACATTTAGACCAACCTATGACAGAAATCATTATCCCCTTATATCTCATCAACCACTAGACATTTTGAATTGATATTTCATGTATAGATAGACTAGAGACTAGGCTATCTAGTGATATCGATATTTCTAGAGAAATCCTAGAAATTAGTGATTACTAAGCAAAACGGTGTGGGTTGGGTAACCTGAATGGATAAAACCTCACAAAACCTTAACTAATAAGAAGAGAGGTTTTAGTGCGTTAGACGGTATCGTATTAAGGAGCGAAACGGTCCAGTTTCGGCGACGAACCGGCCCCTTCCAGACGCACCTACGCGTGCCTAGGACCCGTCAAATCCACGTATTGGACGGATTCTTCTCGAACGGGGGGGAGGGGGTACTGTAATGGGCCAGAGCTGGATGTTGATCACGTGTGTCACGTGAAGCTTCTATACTTAGCCCCTCAGGAGGCCCTGTGTTTACTTTTCTTCAAGCTTTCGATTCGATAGACGGATTGTCAGCCACACCCAATTGAATCAAGTTCGCTCTGAACCCTTCACAGAAGTTACTACTTCGGGCGGTTTCTAAGGCTATTCGGAACTTACCCTTTTCGGGTAGGCCTCCGGCTATCACGGCCAGCCCGCGTGCGTGGGTTCGAAACCCCCTCGGCGCGATTATCTGCAAGTTTTCTTCCTTTATAATTAGGCCGACCTAGCGTATATACTTCCTCCTACTTTCTGACTGAGCCATTAGGCTAGAAATCAAAAGGGATATCTAATTATCCTATAGAATTGGCTAGGAAGATATAAGAGAGTGTGTAGGATAGAGGGCTTTCACAGAACCTTGTGCCTATCGCGTTACACGCATTTTAGCGTGTTCTCAAACTGCGCGTATCTAGTAGGCGGTAGGAATTATTAGTATGAGCGGTGAGCAAAGTAGAGCCGGGGTGTCCAAATACTTTTGCGTAGTCACTGTATCAGGGATCATGCACAAAGGATACTCGATGCACACGTGCGGATGGTGTGGATATACAATACACGGTGATTGTGCGGATATACAATACACGTCGATGGTGCGGATATACAGTGGAAGACCCCAGGCAGACACTTTCGTGATGGATGTTGTTCAAAATCAGATCATATCCCATCGCCATCTTGTGTACTTCTTTCAACAAATTTTGGCTGAGACCTAAGATCTGTTGGCTTGATCTGCCTTCTCTAGGCCGATCGATTTGGAGAATATATGACACCCAAGGACTCGGACAATGTGACTGAGGAGATTCTCGTGCTCGACCTGAGTGGTAAGCCTGACGGGATTTTTAACAAGTCCATTGTCGGTGTTGTCCTTGCTCATCCGGTTACCGGGGAGAAACAATGTCAAAGATTCACGGGCATTCCGTTCGCTCAGCCCCCGATTGGAGATTTACGGTGGGAAAAACCGGTCCCGTTGGAGGCTCCGAACACGCTGTCTGAGGAGCCTTTTAGAGCGACATAGATGCCTAGAGTCTGTCCTCAGCCTCCGGTACCCTCTTTCATAAAGTATTCCGTATCTGCCAACAGAGAGTTTGATGAGGACTGCCTTCGTCTCAACATCTGGCGGCCTGTTGGTGAGCCGCCGATGGGTGGATGGCCAGTTTTCGTCTATTACCGTAAGTCGAAGCCTTGTCGTATGGCACAAAAATTTTCTGACATTCTTTCTTGTAGATGGGGGATTCTTACAATTTGGAGACGCCAACTACGAAAATGATCTGGACTTTACGGAACTCATATATTCCCACGGCGCAAAGTGCATTTTCGTCGCACCTATGTACCGCCTCTCTGTTCTTGGATTTCTTGCATCAGCCGACCTAAATCATGCTAATTTTGGTCTTTGGGACCAGAGGATGGCGCTGGAATGGACCTATAAGAATATTTCCGCTTTTGGAGGCAACTCGGAATCTATTGGCATTGGGGGATACTCGGCTGGGTCATATTCTGCTTTCCTGCAGCTTCAGTTTGACATACAACAACCTGCGGACCAACAAATAATACGACGAGTGGCGTTGCAGTCTAATTGCCCAATTACCGCGCCAATTTCGTGGGGATCGAACCAAGTACACAAGAAATATGAACAATTACTCCAGTCCTGCGGAATTCCTGCTTCAGAGAGACCTGAAAAAAGGCTGCGGCATCTTCGGGGGTTAAATATGAAACAACTCCTTTCCGCCCTTGCCACCCTAACGGATCCTGTTTTCAGACCTGTGCTTGATGAAAGTTTCATATCTTCCAGCATGATGCTTGATATCTATAACGGTACAATGGCGAGGGCCATCGCTAAGAGGCATATTTCGATCCTGTTCGGCTACACGCAGCGAGAAGAAGCTGTCTATGGTGCTATTGCACCAAACACGGAGGTTCAGGTAAAAAACACCTTGAGACAGTACTTCCCTGAACGTGTGATCAGTGCTGCTTGGCCATTGTATGTGCGCGGTGTTGGTAGCCCCGCAGTTGATTGGCCAATGGTTTTCGGCGACATGTTCGCTGACCTGCAAGTCAGAGTTGGAGGGATTGGACTTGCGAAAGAACTAGTTTCCGGTGGAGTTCCAACCTCACTACTTTATCGTTACGAGGTTCAATGGAGGGCTCAGGCAATTGACGCATTTCTTCCACCAGAAATGGGAGCGACACATGGGTCGGACGCACAACTCGTCTGGTTTGCAACAGATAAACTCTTAAAACACGATGAAAAGTCAGTGGTTCAACGATGGGTGTTACCCTGGGTAGCTTGGGTGGAGGGGCGAGAGAATGTGGCGAGGAGTGGTTGGCGGCTGCCTGGGTTAGAAAAAAAAAGAGTATTGGAATCAGATGGTCAAATCAACACGGTTGATGTAGACTCTAGAAAGCTTATCGCTGTCTGGGAGGCTATTAAGGCAGCTACTATATGATTGGCTTACGGGCATCCAACTTCTGGTCCAGACATATATACATGCAAAGCCATCAGATTCTCGTGAATGAAATACCCATACCAATTCTGATTTCCCCCCTTCTGCGTTAATCCGTCCGCCTAGGTTTCATTCATAATATTATGAGTGAATATGCAGCAAGAAGGCTTGAACTTCCTACATAGATGGCTGAAGGTGGCTCAAGGTGGCAAGACACGAGTCGTGTTAGGCTTGTACCTCTTGCTAACACTCAAAGTAGACCAATGAGTTCTTAGGCCTCCTTCCACTGGCTGCACTCTACTGTGCCCGTGTTAATCGCTAGGTATGTCCTGTCCATGCTGGGTATAGGACCGTTATCGCGCTCATATGTGCACCTGGAAACGCTCTGGGAGGACGGGGAAGGGGGTGGGGAGTGGGGTTTCCGCATACTGTTCACGCTCACACCTTTCCTGTGAGAGCATGTCGGCGTGTGTCCGCTACCATAAAACATCTAAATACCATGCCTTTAGGCCTCGCAAGTTCACCGCTGTACATGGCGTCTTCGCTTCCTGCCCCGCAGCGCCTGCTCTGCTCATCGTGTGCGCGACCCCGGCCGTGCACCCAGTATAAGACGTGCGACAGCTGTCGGCGGAACAATGAGCTTCGCAGACTCCGAAATTCTGGCCGGTCTGTCCCTTCCAGTCACCTCCTGTCCTCTCCGTTACAGGCTACTTCTTTGTCTTCTCCCCTGGCTAGCTCCCCCTCTGGGCCTACGGGTTGTACAGGAATGTTACAGGCCAGGCAAAAAGAGAGGTTCAATTCGGTGCCATTCAACGAAGCAACTAAATCTAGAGGAGAAAAGAAGAAGAAGAAGCTCTATCTACCGCGTGGAAGCCTTTGTTGTGGGCTAAAGGAACCTTACATCAAACACCAGTTGACCAGTTCGCTACTCGAGCCTTCCACTCCAGTACGTCCTCGATTGTCACAAGGAAGGCATCTGCCTATTTACTGCAGACAGAATCGTCGTGTTCTATATAAATGATATTGCCCGAACCCAACCCAAGCTCAACCCTTATTTACTCCAATGCCATCTCCTCGCACAAGGCATGCACCGGTCAAGAGATCATATACAGAGCACAAGATTAGAATCAGTTTTGTCAAGTATTGTAAGCTGATGTAGTAAAAGACCACTGGGCTGGTGAAGAGGGCAGGATAAGCCGTCAGTTACAGGGAACAACCAGCGGCGCCGTCGGTGGTAAGCGTTTCACCGCAGCAGTAGTGGTGGTGACCATCGACTTCAACATTCAAACACTGGTCGTTTGTGATCCAAAAGGTCGCATAAACACTGCCGTTGTCGCAGTCGAAAAATCGCAACCCGTCGCTCTTGCCAATTGTTTCAACACAGTCGCCTATAACTGCGTCCCGCATGATGCAACGGCCCCGGCCATCGCCGACATCGAATTGCGCTTTATGCGCCGGAATATTCCAGTTCGTGTTCCATGCACCACCGACAGAGATTGACTGGGAACTGCAGCTGATATATCTTCCCAGAGCACTATTGCTCAAGGCAAGAAGAGCGGTTAGGCCTGTGAGCGTTGCCACCGGGGAGAGCATCATCACGTTGAACTTGGGCAACGTGTCATGTTATATGCTATGCAAATTATGGCAAGGGAGCAAACCAGAGAATAAGTGGATATTTGAAGAGCCAAAAAATGATAAGTGCAATTTACGGTTACTTTACTTGCATGATCTCAAGAGAGGATAACGAATGGGAGAGGGTAAGGGAGTAGGATAGAAGTGATTTAGGAGCCGAGTTATATTGAGCTTCTTAGAGGATATACACAGAAAGATACAGATGATTCTCCTCTCTGGCGATGGATAAATCAAATTAGAGGCTCGAAGAGTGTTAGATCTCCTCATCCGACAAAAATTTCTCCACTTTCCTCATTTCGAAGACGCCAGCCTCATTCGTGAATTTCTCTGGGTAGCCGAAGAACAATGGATAGGAAACGTCTGGTTCGGCATTTAAGAGAGTAACTTGGAATTGTTCCGAATCGGTATGATGGACTCTGAAATCGTACCAGGTCTTGTTCTTTGGCGGGAGGGGCCCATGTTCGTCAAATTCGACAGGAAACACGCCCGGTGGACATTCATAATAATAGCTCATGAGAAGAGTCCCGTCCTTAGCACTTCTTGCATCTGCGATGGTGATAATTTCCTGTTCGATGAAATTATATCTGGCGGGTTGGCGCCACTTGTCTATGGCCCAGTTCTGGCATTCCTCTTTAGAGGCGTTGATGAAGTCTGACTCAAAAAATTCCCCATCTTGTAAACCCGATCTAAAATGCTCCTGTGAATCTGGGCAAACTCTCGATTCAACAAGATAGTACCAGTAAGGAAAGTCTCGTGGCTCTGTACTGAATTCACGTAAGGCCTTAGGTACAAACTAGTGATTTCGCGGTCAGCCTCAATTTCTTCGGTCCCACCTCTAACCGGCTATCATCGTGGCACCTATAATCCATAACACGCTAGACTTACAGGCTTAGCGTCTTCAGCAATACAGAAGAACAAGGCGCGTGTCATCGTAGGGTCTTTATGCTAGCGACGAAATGATGCTCAAGGGCATATGACGGCTTACTTTCCAACAGGACGAGACTTTACAGAGTCTTTCTATAGATTCCAAACGGCGAAGATACGATGACGTCATACCTGGTCTACCAGATAGAGGGACGAAGGAGTCGGGATAACTTGCAAATTACTCAATAGTGTTGGCAAGCTGGTGAATCTGATTAATAGATTAGCAAACTGGCCCCTGGGGCCGCTCCAGCCTACAGGCTTCCACCCCCCCTGCCCCCGAACCGCCCGACTGAACTCATAGTATATGTACTATGTAGTACTACATCTATTGATGATCTAAATTGAAACCGACGAAAAAGCTAAAATTAATCATAAGCTACCTGAACTACTCCACTTTTATTACCGTAGAAACAGTTTGTTACCGGCCCCTTACAAACAATACCATATTTTCCGGACCCTCGCCGCTATCACAAACGATATTGCTATAACGATAGGTTGCCTCATGGTAAATGCTGGATTCGACTGAGTTTCTACCAGATCGGGGCAGACGCAGATCTTGGGTTGTTCAACCTTGAATACATCATCTACCTGTCAGTGGTGTGGGTTAAATTGTGAAGGAAGAGAGAATTCCCCAGTTCTCAGAATCCTCTTGGATCCTCATCCCCGCCGTCTTGGCCCGGAGTCCGAAGTGGCTAGAGCCTGAGGATGTCCATTCGATCTCAGCAGGTACAGGCTGCCATCTTGAAAAAAGTCGATAGCGAAAAAGCCTCCAATGGTCATGGCACCGCTGAAATCCAGCTCAACCAACTTACGCCCAAGGAAGGCATCGTCGGTCACTAGACCGTCTGCACTTGTAGGATAACCGGGAGTTGTCGTTTTCTCCAGTTTAAAGCTAGGACCAACGACCAACTCCGTGGAGGGAGGGAAGAGAGAGGGATTGCCAGTATGGTTCATATGGTGGTGGGATCAGATAATTGCGTTGATCGATTCAAGGGAGATATTGGCCTTGCGAAGTTGGTCAGCAACATCTTGCTCAATTTCCACAACTGCCTGGGCAAATTCGATTTGTCTGAGGACTTTCAGGTTGGTCACGGTCAGTATGCATAGTACCTTCTCATGTGCGGCACGGCTGAATAGCCCGATCCAAGCCACGGATGTTGATCATGCTTACTAGTGGGTGGTAGCTTCTCCTTCCAATCTTTCCTCAGTCCAAGGTCAAAAAGAATCTTTTGGTTCTTCTTGTTCTCGATCAGGAAGCTATAGCAAGGAATGTCAAGCAAGTCATGCCCTGCGATTGGACTTTCAACAACGTAGGCTGTGGGCACAGTCGTTCATCCAGCATGAATTATCGACACATCCATGGTCGAGTCCCTGAATTCCGGGAATATCAACGTAGCCATGATTCTGAATCAAAGGTTTGAATACCTTGAGCTGGTGAAGGACTTTTGAATCAGGCGTTTCTGAAAAGTGTGTGGTTCTTACTTCTCACGAGGTGATCGCGTTGTAAGTAGAACACCTCATAATTCCTCTCCCCTGAGTAGAAGGCTTATCGTCTCCATAAAAGGATAAATATGAGTTACCAATCAATTTCTCTTGGACGTCTAGGAACGAAAATGAGTGTGATAATTATTAATCCTAAGCACTAGGACCTCTAGAGAATTTCAAATCAGACCGTATCAGACAAGTAAATGTGAATAAAGATTATGAACGTCCGATTGGAAGAATTTGTCCAACCCATAATTTGATGTTAAGATCTCGGTCACACAAGATGTGCTCGGAAGGTCGAGAGCTGTTTGGTTCCAGTGGATCCAAAGCCGCACTTGCAGCCGCGTTTGCGGTCGCACCCGCACTTTTGGTCGCCTAAGCGAGAGCCTTTGATCCAATCACAAAAGGTTCGCCAAAAAGCAGAGCTGATGCAGGTGCGGGTGCGGATGCGGATATGGTGGAACTGGAGATATTCAACGATCCAGCAGCGCAATGATTAGGAATATAAAGTAACCTCGAGATAGCCCCTGGTATAACACTAAAATTGTGAAAAGGGCAAATACAAAGGGCACTAATTTATAAGTAGATCGACACATTTTTCACGAGATTTGCATACAAAGGAAACATAGTATTGGGTAATGCCTGGCTGCGGCTGCGGCTGCGGACCATGTGTACCTTGGGTGACCTCGGGACATGTCTTCGCTTCCATGGTACGTGTCATTTGCTCGACCGGAAGAGCAAATAATGTCCAATAGGTGGAAGTCCGGCGATTGAATTCCCCCTCGGCGTCCAATTAACAATACACCATCAATAGCGAGACGCCGAAAGGAAAGACTTCCCGGAAATGCTTGGTTTCACCCGTCGATGGCGGGGCCCACTTACTAGATTCATGGCGTAGTTGAGCAATAGGGCGAAATAGGATTATGTCTGGTGAACTTCTTCTGTATATGAGCATTTGCAGCACTGATAAGTAGGGTTTGTCTCTGTATCTCAGGAATGGCTCGCAGTCCCACTGGATCCCACTGGATTCGGTAGGTGTTGTGCTCCTCTACTCGCCACGAGCTACTATTGACTGGCGGAGCTGCTCCATGGTCCTTTCGATACCCTCATTCCACCGCTGCTGTTCCTCTACACTGGTCTCCAATGCCCTTAGTCTTTCATCGGTCTGTGCAAAGGTCGTATATCGCAGAGTGCCGACGGTGCACTTACACCACCCTCCCGGATTGTCTGGCGACCCCTGTTAGTTAACCGCGCTTCTTTCAGTTATGGCAGCATATAGAAACGATGGTACAGTACTCATTCAAGAAAGCTAAGGCCGACATTTGAACGGGAATGATATCTGTCCTATTGATCGATTGGCTT